ATGCTCTACTATGCAACTCCTGTAGCTCCCCAAGGCCACACCAGTATGCTGCTATGATTATGATGTTAAGTATTAATGACTACATAAAAAAAGGTTTGGATTTTTCAGCGCTTCACATAAATTGAGGTAAAAATTATTTTCCAATATAATATCTCCGATAGACCAATCAGATCACTGTTCAAAACTTAATAAATTCTTATCTTCATAGTCTTCTCTGATCCAGGCCCCATAAAAACATCTCTTACTTGGACTGATTATAATAATGATAGTTGTAAAGACTAAAAAAGATAACAATTTCTTCTTCACTTAGCAACTTGACCAAATTTCTAGCAAACTTCTGCTGAGCTGTGCTCACGTAAATTTAACACACAAGACATGAATACGATAGGACATGGACCCAATAATGTGACACATTTTAAAAATCATAAGAAACAACAGGGCTATAATACAATGTATAAAATCAATCTAAAATTAACAAAAAATTAAAATCCTTAATTACAAGAGAGATCCACATTTTAAAGATGAACATAACTCATAATATGATAATAAACATCATAAAATGCTAGAATTTATCTAGTTATTATGAAATTCAATTTTAATGACATAAAATTTGAAAAATAAAAGTAAAAGAAAATTATAACAATGCAATTAAAGGTGTTTCACATGTCTGTGCAATATGGCCATTGGGAGGAAATGATAAAATAGAAAAAGATAGAATTTGAGAGTTTGATACGAACAAGATATAATAAGAGCATGATAAACTCTTATCTCATTTTACATTTGAGGTATACCAAAATAACAAATTAGATCCATTATTTATGTTATACTATCCATTTCTAACTCAAGCCTCCCACAAGAAAAAATTTGCACTAGAGAGTAGGATAAGATAAGCCCATAGAATATACTTATCATATCACTTTGCTACGTAAATACGATGGGATAGAAAAAGTTATCTTATCCTGCTTTCTTATCTTATCCACCGAACAGGTCCAATGTGCCCAACTAGCTTGTGATACATGGCTACTATATAGAAGTAAAGTATCTGTGCTTCTTAGTTACTATGGTATCCAATTTAACTGACACACAAGTTTAAAAGTAAAAAACATATAGAAGTGCAACTGAGAGTATTCATCGTGTTCATGCAATGTTGAGTCAACGTTCATATGTAACATGACAAGGCTATAATTTAGAAATGTAGAAATGTCCGTAATCTTAGTTTAGATATACTGAAAAGAGTGAAAAAAGAGAGATAGTTTGAAGCTGTAATAACAAATTTTGGAGGAACGAGAAGGAAAAAATAAAAGAATAAAAAAGATTAACAACTTCACAACGAAAAGCAGCAGTAACTCACGTCTTGAGCCATCTGGGTCACTATATCAGCAAAATTTGAAGCTATTTTCTCAGTCGAAACTTTATCTGAAAATATAACAGAATCTAATGCTACTTTACACTTCTGAAACGGCAATTCACCACGAACCTGACATCAAACCAGAACCAAAAATCAGTCCTTTATCCCAAAAATAAAAATCTGAGCATTGAATTCAACACCCAAATTTCAAATTTTCAATGTAAACACAAAAATAATAATAATAATAAAGACAATTAAGCTTTATTGGTGTGAAAAGCGAGAAAATAACACACCATAGTCCAGCATAGCTCATAGAGGAATCGAAGCATTGGAACAGGTTCGGAGACCTTAAGGGCAGGGTTGCCACTCTTCCATTCGCGAACACAGTCTTCTGTTACGTATACACACTCTATGGGTGGAAGAGACATTTTTCTGAATCTGAACACAAACCCTACGAGGAAGCGTGAAATTTTAAGGGCGATAATGAATCGTGGAAGGAGGGTTTATGAAGAGAATCGCATTTCCATGGGCGAAACGGAAATTGATAAATTTTAGGGTTTTCAGAGAATGAAGGGGTTAGCGTTTAAGAACATTTTGATTGCGGTGACTGATTTTTGCAGAAAAAAAAAATCATTTTATAGAACTTGCTTGTAATTAAAATTTATTTTTTTAATCAAAACTTATCCTAATATAGGTGCTTAAGGATGGAAACGTCGCAAGAGTCTTTGTATTCAAACCCCTCTTATTGTTTAAAAGTAACAAATTCTTTAAATAAATTTATATCATAAATTTAAATTTAGTAATAAATTTTATTAAAAATAATTTATAAGAATTATAGTTTTTATATATATTATTTATAATTTTTTAAATTATTATTCATCATTCTTGTCAAATTTAAATTTGAGTTGACAATTTAATTAAAAGTGTACTTAATAAAAAAATACTACTAACATTTTTTAATATATTTTTTAAATATATTATTTATTATAAGTTTAAATTTGATTAAATATATACATGTATAATATTTGCTTCAATTTTAATAATTTTTATTCATATTTTTGTAACTTTTAATTTTTTAATAAATAACAGAAAATGTTTTAATACTCTTTCTTGATTTAGATCATTTTATAGGCATTGGTCAAACTTTTTTACAAGTTTGAGCTAATCTACAAGGTTGTTTAAAAATTTACCTTGCAATAAAGTCTTTAAATAAATTTAAAAATTTTAAAAATTAATGAGTCACAAAATATATATAAATTAACATAAAATTTAAAATAAAATAAAAATATATTTTTAACCTATTATGTTAATATAATAGTATTATATTTATTTAAATAGACTAATTACTTTATACACAATTCATACAAAATATTATTAAAAAACATATAAAAGTAATAATAATTAATAAAAAATATTTGATATTATAATTCGATTGTTTTGAAAATATATATAAATGATTTAAGTTTGGCGTAAATTATATAAAATTTGATAAAAATTAAGTTTATATTTTAATACATAAAACTTATAAGTAAAAAACTCTTAATTGGTCTGTCTTTTTAAATTGAAAAATTTAAACTCAATGTTAATAATTATAATTATTTTTTAAAAAAGTAAATAAGGTGAAAACTTAATTATAAATTATCAAATATAATTTTGTGTTCCATTTATAGAAAAATTAGCTAAATTACGAGGCTTTTTATTTAGTTATAAAACTTTTAAAAAATTTAATGTATTTTTTTTTATCTGATTCAATTTAGATCTTTCGAGTTGAACACTTAGATGTGATAGATGAGTCTACTATTAAAAAAAAAATTTATAATTCAAATTCAAGATTTTATTTAAGCGATATGGAATAATTTGTAAATCAAACTAATATTTTTTTTTAACTTTAATGCATTTATTCTTATATATAAAAGTTTCAAACAAGGAAGCGGTATAAAAAATAGTTTTGCTTTTGAAAATTCCTCCCATCTGCCATCCATTCCATCACAGAGATTTATGTGATTGGGAAAGAGGGTAACATCAAAGCTGTCGGTGCTTTTCACTGTATAATTTCTGTTTTTTTTTAAAAAAAAATTAATCAGACATTTTAGAATTAATATATTTATCTGGGTTTCTAAATACGCATTTATTTGTTGGCATGAATTAATATATTTGATAGCTTTGATTTTTTTATATTATTTATTTTTATAAAATCTTTTATGGAGTTTGTGAACGAATAACCAATTAGTCTCTATATATCTTCATGGCTGGTAACATGCTAAGCTCCCGCTATGCTTAAGAATCACATATTGCATTCTAATGTAGCAATAAACGCTAATCCTGTATCTAAATCAAGTTTTTTCCCATTTGATTATAAGTGAAGGAGATTTAGAACTTCACTTAATGCGATTAAAAAACTGTCAATATCACACTTTATGGTGCGAGTTATGCTATCAAATTGACTTCCTAAGAGTTTTGTTGATTATATAAAAGAAAGGAAGAAAGAGAGACGAACCATACAATCATACCCAAAACAAATACGAGTTGCTGTTGTTGCTTCTGCGGTATCCCTTATTGACTTCCAATAATTAGAAAGATGGTAATGGATTGAAGTTACTTCTTTTCTGTTTTAACAATAATTGTGCTAATAAACCAATTATCATGATGGGAATGGTAGAACTCACCAATTCAGGGTAGAAAACATGTGATAGTTTATTTTATTGAGAAAGTTTTAGGAGGGAGAACAAGGTTTTTTATGTAGATCCAGGCAGCTGGCTTGTGGAGTAGAGTAATGATATGTAATTTTCATATGCACATCTACTTCCCAAGGATGATGAAGCATTTAAGCATTATAACACTTTGACTTCCAAATGCCTCGATGAGCATTTATGTTTTAAGATTTTGTTGATCGTACTTTAGAACTTGACTTTACTAAACACAATCTCAAATTATTATTGTTCTTTTGTTTTTGAGGATGAAAAGAAGATTCTTATTAGGAAGAAAGGAGAGTCAGTCCAGGCTGAGAATAAGAATTTCTTTTGAGAAGAAAAATGGAAAGGAAAAATGCAACAATGAGGTCCATTTTCTTTTGGTACATCAATGATAGAAATTCTTGAATATTGAAACAAACATGATTAGCTAAGAACACAACTCTGGCCCAAAGAAAATAATCCTTTATATAGTAATCTTGAACAAATGGTGACCCATTAACCTAAAAAAGAAACCAAGCCTGTGTGTGCCTATGAACCTGATGAGGGGTTTGATAGTTGGAACATGCAATTTGAATTAGTATTGACAGAAGTAAAGTGGCTAACTCTTTATGGTAACTTACAATAATGGTACTATTGTTAAATGTAAGAAAATTTCTTTCAATTTCTTCTTTTATGCAAGATGCAGGTGCAAGCACTAATGGTGTAATACTATAATCATATCTAAATCCTTGAAAAATAAGAGAACACACACAAAAAAAAAAAAAAAACATCTATTTTCAGCACCTCTATCTTCTTGCATCCCAAAACTTCTAAAATAACAGGATTCCTCTTTTTCTTTAAGAAAATAAACCATTAGGTTCAGGGTACTGTTTGGGTGGGACTGGGAAGAGAAATGACATGTTTGATAAAACAAGTAATTCCATTGAGGTCATGGCTGATATTAAAGTCTAGCTTTACCTTCATTGCCCATCTAAAAATGGTCTAGTTTGTATGTTTGACTTTGAGTTGTTTCCACTAGGATGGACAGATGAAGGAGCTGTTAAATCCATGGTGCTTCTTCCTTCATAAGCTTGCCACCTTTGGAGTGCTTCAGGTAATGTCATATCAAAGTCAATCCCATATATGTCATCAACATCTGGTTGTGAAGGCTTCCACACCTCAACAAGGGGTGATAGTACATTCACTGCATGACTCATGTCAGGGCGTTGATAAGGCTCTCTTGCACTGCAGTGCCCTGCTAACTCTGCAACAGTGCTAACACTGGCTAAGGTTTCCTCATCAACTTGAATTGTTGGATCGATGATTGTTCGAAATGAGTCTTTGTTCAGCAGCATCTTGCGAAACCATGGAACAAGGTGGATGTTTTCTTCTGGTAGGCTGTCATCAAGTGCTTTCCTTCCAGTTATAATCTCCATGAGAATCACACCAAAACTATATACATCAACCTTTGTTGTAAGTCTGCCAGTGGCTGCCAAATCATTAATGAAATTATCAAGTGTCATGGATAGTTTGATATTTGAACAATAAAGGATAAAAGTGAACTCTATGCAAACTACTGTTCATCCTAATATGATCACTGGAGAAAGGTGCCTTTAGTTAACTGGCCTAGTGGCTTGTTTATATGTAATATGCAGCAGCCACTTATGGAGCAATGCAAGGCACAAACAACAACAATCATGTCACTTATTTTAATAAATATTGCTTGCACAAATTACTTCTTAATAAAACCAAGGACGAAACTTGGTGCAGTTCTTTATGTGTTTTCCGTGTTGTTTTTTATCAAAATTAAAGTTTCACCTAGCTAAAAAGGGTTTGCATTTAATGTTATCATGAGTTAACGAAGCGAAACTCTAATTGATTGAAAAACAACATCAAAAGTACTTAAGAAACTACACCTAAATTTTGTTCTAAAACTAAATATCAGCGCTCAAAGCTGTATCAATGTACGACTTATGCAAAGTGCCTATGGAGGATTACATATAAGTCCTAAAGAGGATAACTATTACAAAGTGGCTCGGATGCATACTGAAATAAAATTGATAAACACTAGAATCATTTTTTAATCTCATAGCAAGTTTAATACATAATCTGTCATCTTTGCCTTCTGAATATAGTTAATTCCGTATAACATTTGAGATACAGATGATACAGAGTTCAATCAATTTGATTTGGTATGACACTACTCATTATCTCCACAAAGAGTTGTTTAGCTGAAACTGAAGTTGGAACTCAAAACAAAATAAGTACCTTTGGAATTTGTACATGCACATGCATAAGTGAAAACATTTAAAGAAAATTTTTCTTACTGTTTTGATACATAAGAAAAAATGTCAAATATAACGAGCATAGCATATAACTGTTTTCCAGATGACTAAGGCAGAGGGGACACAACGTTAAAAGAGAATTTAAATGCCTACCAACCTGCATACTCTGGTGCCATATATCCAAAAGTTCCAGCAAGCCTAGTTTGAAATGAGGTTTTCCCTTCGGGAGCAAGGCGAACTAATCCAAAATCTGATACTTTGGCACGCTTATCCTCTCCTAGCAAAATGTTAGATGGTTTGAGATCCCTGTGGATAAAAATCTGTTGTGTCAAACCATGAAGATATTCAACCCCTCTAGCAACATCCAATGCAATACTAAGCCTTGTCTTCCATTCTAGTGGTTTTAGTCCTTCACCTCTCCAATTAAACAGGTGTTTACTAAGAGCACCCTGAGGCATGTACTCATAGACAAGAAGTCTCTCACTTCCATCCAAACAATACCCCAAGAGTGCAACCAAATGCTTGTGCCGAACCTTAGTAAGCACTGTAATTTCAGCCATGAACTCACTCAACCCTTTCTCATCCACCAATCCTGCTTGCATCCTTTTCACTGCAATCTTTGTCCCATCATGCAATTCTCCTCTGTATACAGAGCCAAAACCCCCCTTTCCCAATATGTTTTTTTCACAGAAATTGTTGGTAACTTCTCTCAAGACTTCAATTGAAATTAGCATATTACCAGCTTCCACTTGATAAGCATTAGACATGGGACTTAATACTGTACCAGCTGTTCCTTCACCATAACCTGCAACACTTGTCTTTGTAGCATTTCCATCACCATAATGGCGAGGATGTACCACAATTGCATTTGGATTTTGAACTTTCTTCTCACGCTTCAACTTTCTCCTAAACTTAACAAATATTAGAACCCCAGCAGCAAGTAAAACAACCACCGCCACCACAATTCCAACAATGACGCCAATGTTATGTTTATTACCATTACCTCCTGAACTTGAGGCCGTTGGAGAATTAGTAGGCTTATCCTCTCCAATATCAGGATTTCCACCTACTTTAAGAACCACATCTCTATGGAATGGTGGTAATTTTCCAAACAAATGATTACTGGAAACATCTAACTCTCGCAAAAGAGGCATACTAGTAAGTTCCATTGGTATGGTACCAGTGAGACCATTGTTAGCAAGAAGCAATTTTGTGACAGATGTAAGGGTAGCAAAACTAGGAGAAATAGTGCCAGACAAACCCATGTTCTGAAAATTGATAACAGAAATGTTTCCATTGGAGCAAACTATCCCTATCCAGTTATTAGCACATGGATCATTACCCTTCCAGTTTTGAGCAAACTTGATAGGATAACCCAAAGGCTCAACAACAGATAACAAAGCATTCACAAGAGGACTACATGGCTGCCCCGGCACATTTGTGCAATATTGATTCCTCCCCTTGTCCATATTATTGTCAACTCCTACCCCATCTCTGAACTTTGGAGGGGGTCCTTGAAGAAGATTATTGGTCAAGTTCACAACTTGCAAACTTTGAAGAGAAATTAGGGAGGGTGGAACAACACCAGTTAACTGGTTATCCCTTACATTCACATCAAATAGTTGATCATGGTGCGACAAGTCTGGAATAGAACCAGTGAACGAATTACCATGAGCCCAAATTTGCTTCAAAGATGTCATGTTATGTAACACAGCAAGGGTGCCATTGAGTTTAGAGTTTCCATTCTGTCCATTCACCAAAAGGTTCTCTATTGAACTACCCGAGAGGCTTGAAGGTAAGGGACCTTCTAGAAAATTATCAGACAAGTCCAAGAAAACCAAACCTGGGAAAGGACCATCTTTGCCAAAGAAATCTGGGATTGTCCCAATCAAGCCAACATCCTCAGCACTGAAAGTCTGGAGTGCAACACAATCCTTCAGAGTGTCAGGAATATGCCATTGAGAAAAAGGGTTGTTGTCCATTCTCACATCTTGCAAACTGCTCATTCCTGTGAAGAAATCATTGGCAATGAAGTTGAACTTGTTGTTATGGATCATCAACCTTTGCAAGGATTTTGAGAGGTAAGGGAATGGTCCTGTGAAACTGTTGCTTTGACACTCAAAACGTTGCAACCTTGTTAGCCTCTGAAGTTCCTTTGGGAGAGAACCCTGAAGGTGCTGGTTCCCAATCTGAATAGCTGTAACATGTTTGGTTGAATCACATTCAACATGCTTCCATTTGCATACATCAGGGTCTGTCCATTGGAAGCTAATGGGGGCATTGATCATGACCTTGAGAATTCCCATTACCTCTGCATCTTGACACCTAGCTGGGACAACCAAAACAACAAGAACCAACAACACAAGACAAGAAATGAAAGAACCTCCAAAACCCAGTTCTGGTTTCACCATTTTTTTCTCCTTTTTGGAGAAAAAAGAGAGGAGAAAACAGAGGAGGGGAGAGGAAGAAAACAGAGAATCCCCAAAAGGGTTTAAGGGGGAAGTTGATCACATTCCATTTGAGGAGGAGGAAGAAGAACCCCCCCAACGGAAAAGGTGCAGCAAAAGAGAGAAAGAAATTGCATAAGTTGTTTTGTTTGGAAAACAGAGAAAATGGTGGGGGGGAATCATGCGTGTGTGGACCCCTATCCTTTGGAAGTTTCAGAATCAATGGTTTGCGTTGCATGTTCCAATCCTACTCCTCGGACGGAACTGCACGTAATCTTTGTAGTAAGTTGTTGTGTTCGTTAAAGGTGTTGGTAATGCCCTTTCTTTTTTCATTTTGTTGGCATTTTATTTTTATCAGTTTGTGCTAATCAAAATAATGTGTCTTGTTACCACCCTATATCTGTTATTAGAAACAAAAGGTTTTAAGCTGATTTTTAAGATTTTTTTTTTCATATTTGAGGCATTTTTAACTAACTAAATATATATTTAAAATAAAAAAACTAAATTCACTTCAATCCAATTAAAGTTAAATAGATATCTAAACATTAATGCTTACATTAAAAATCTTAAAATCAAATTATTATATAATTTGAAATTTTAAGAAGTAAACTCATCTTGCAAATCAAATTAATTTGAGTTTCATTATGTCGACATTGCTAGACAAACACTTTCTTATTAATAGTGAGCATTTGCAAAGTTAATTTTATGTGACTTTAATTTTACTTTATTTAGTTTAGTCAAAATAAAATTTCGAATGAAGTGTTTTACATTTAAAAACCTATATATTAAAAGTAAATTTACACTAAAACTTAATATGAAATGGTTAACCTGATGTAGATTTTTATTTTCAGTCAAAATATTTTAAAAATAAATTTATTAAAAAAATACCAAAGTATAAAAACATATTTATAATGCTTCAAACTGGTGTTTAATTAACAATTATATCCCTCCAAACAAACATGTACTAGATATTGTTTATTTTTCTTAGTTCATAGACTAAACCGGATATAATGTTACAATTATTATAATAATTTATTTTTAATCATTATAATAATTAACTATTTTTTTTACCCAAACAAACAAACAAACATGTACTAGATATAAAAACATATTTTTGTTTGAAAGAGTTTATAAATAGTTCATAGAAAATAATTTATTTTAAAGTTACTTGGTATAGTTTATTAAAATAAGTTATTTTTAATTTATCTCAATAAATTTTATTGTTAAATTTATGATATAAAGAGTTTTATTTATAAAAAAAATTGAATAAGTGCTTAAATATGCAATTATTTAAATCTACCTTAATCGTTGTTTTTCTTTAACTTGTTTATTGATTAGTTTTATCTTTGTTATTAAGTAAAACTTTTGTCTTCTACTTTTGAAGCTTTTCAAACTTGTTCGGAATAGACAGAGTTTTTTTAACTTAAATTCAGATGAGTAAAAACAGAGAAGAATATAAGATAAAAGAAACATGATTTTTTCAGTGTGTAATGAAAAAATGGAGAGGAAGGAAATTTTCAGATGAGAACCATATGATAAACATCCTCTTAAAGTAAGTTAAAATTAAAGGGGAAATTTTTTAATATTTAAAATATTAAATACTTTTTAATTTATATAATCGTTATAAACTTTATTCTAACCCTATATTTCTTTTATATATTCATTATGGTCCCAACCGTTTACTTGCCATTAAATCATTGCTGGCTTAACTAAAAAAGGCCCCACTAAATTGTGCCATTACGAACCCATCGTGCTTCGTGCAACAAGTTAAAAGACGTCATCAGTTTAACACCTCGAAGTAACCGCCCAATATCAGGCAGAGAGTCACATGCGACGAAATTCAATTCATTTCAACACGATTGATTCACTAGTTCCTTCTTCCATTGAGTCTAATAATACCGTGATTCACTTTAAATTGACAAGAAAAATTATAAATCTAAACCACCTTCATTTGTTGCACAACAACCAAGTATAACATGCGAGACTTAAAAAGTCAATTTAGAAATTCGTGATTGCAAACTGCTAACTGTAACCATGAAAGAGTAACAATTTTTAAAAGAGGAAGAAACTCTTTTAACAGTGGCCACTACTCTACAAACAGAATCCTTGGCCCCCATTTAGTGACCATAAATCCGGGAAAAGTTTTCCAAAATCACATCGGATACAATAAAACACATTAACACCGCAGATTGGCCTCATGCGGGGTCTGTGCCCCACTTTAAAAATATATAGTAAGAACCAGTTCACAGATTAACCATATAATGGAGCAAAGACCACACTGGAGTGCATTAAGAAAAAAATGAAATTCCAAGCCCCAGATCTCGACTTCAAGTGGGTAAAAGAGCAGTAGTGTGACTTGCACCATTCAGGTAGCTACTCTCCTCAGAAGAACAAATTTTCTAAGCACCATGATGAATATTTGACAAAGCGAATCAAGACCAAACTCATGAGGTATACTCAAATGGTTGAGGAGGTTGAGGTTCCTCGTCCACAGCCATAGCTGATGAAGAACTCTGCAATCCTGCTGCTGATCCACCAGCAGCTGACGTGTTAGATGAGGGTGTGTCAGTGAGAGCAAGCACTTCAGGCTCAGTCGGACGCAAGTCTTTGAGAAGCACAAATCCTGAGGGTGCCAACTTAACTGGAACATATCTGCTATCCTGCAAAAATTTAATAAACTTCTCCTGTGCAGGAACCACCCTTGCAGGATTAGTGAGAATCTCAAAAGAAGGCTCAGGCTCTGATTTCTTCTCCGTTGGGCTATCAACCTTCCAAAAGAATTGAGAAATAAAAAGGTGAGTATACAAAAAGACACTAGATGTTTTATCAGAACTATACATCGAGCATACAAATCATGGATCTAACAACAAATGGTGATCAACAATAATTCGTGTATAATATCAATTTTGCATCAAATAAATTTTTTTTACATCAACCCTAAGGCAAAAACCGAATAAATGCATCCAGCAATTTAGGTACCCTCCCCTTCCTTGTACCAACTCTAAGACCTATTTTGTAACGACCAAAGAAATAATACACATAAACAGATAACTGTAATCCATAATAACTATTTCCTGCTTAGAATATTAACTTTATGTTAGTCACAACAACTACTAAAAAATCAGACTATACATACAAAACAATAAATTAGCAACAAAAAAATATCCGAGAACATATGCTGAGGAAGAAAACAAGGAATGCTTTTAGCAACAGCAAATACACATTGCATGCATGCAAGCGACCTAAAGAAAATTTTCAACCCTACCCTTTGCCCTTCTATTTTCTATACTTCTAAATAGTGGCATAAATGCAGAAAGATTTACGGAAGCCTTTCTGAAATTAATAAAAGAGCAAAATATGCATTACCTGCATGGAGTCTCCATCTTTGTCACTGGATGACTTTCCTTTTCCACCACTTGGAACAGCTGATGCAGCATCAGGACCAGATGAAATTTCAGCATTAGCCTTCTGTTCTTCAGCTTTCTTAGCCCTAGCTTTAGCCTTAGCTGATGTTGACAGAACAGCTGTGGGAAGTTTCACAGTTGAAGTAGTGGTAGGAACAGTAGTAGGCTTAGGGTATTCAAAGAGTGAAGGCTTTGCATGTGACAAGAACTCAAACTTGGGAGATTTCAGATCATAGTTGAGACCGATAAAAGCCGTGGGTGAAAAAGACAAACTTATAAAATAGATAAGAGGGTACCAATACCAAAACTGGCTGAAAACTGCAAGACCAACCACTGCAGTAATTTTATCATGTTTTGTCTTAGAAAGTAGTCTAATGGTCACATTTCTGCCACCAGCATCAAGGATTCCTGAGGCCAAAATTGCTCCCATCTTGCTCATGGTATCCTCATGCTTGTCCAGAATAATTTTCTCCAATTGTCGCCTAGAACGCAAAGAATGTCATAAGAAAATAAATCTATTGCTCATTGTCCAATAAATAGGAATTACTTACCGAAATGTTCCAACACGAGAATCACTAGCTTCACTGATCTGAACCATGACCATAGCCATCGCTATTAGGGCACCTTGACGAACAAAATCAACAACATCTGATGTCAAAGGCTCTAGCAAAGAGATAGCCTCACTGAGACCTGTACCCGCACAAGAAATACCCACAGCAAGAGCCGCTCCATATCGAACATGTGGATTATATGACTCTGATAGGAGGGAAACAATTCGAGGAGTCTGCAATGTAGGAATAGCATTGCAAGTCTCAACCAAATCACCCAAAAAACAATACAATCACAGAAAGAAAATTCAGAACAAGGGAAAATAAAAAAAGGACAGAACTAACCTGCTCTGGATCAGAGTACAACACAAACCCTAATGCTAGAACTGCAGTCCTCCTGACATCATCACTCACATCAGACACAGCAAAGTGCAGTAACTGGCGAATGGCCTTATTGTTTGCTGTTCCCCTGTAAGCTAAGGCCAATGCATACATGCCACCATAACGCAATATTGGATCTTGATCCCGAGTCATCTGCTCAATCAAAGTGTCTGCTTCTTCTTCTCTACCATAAACTGTAAGAGCTATTCCCAATGCTAGCCCCCTGAAACATCGAACAACCATATAATATCCAAGAAAGAAAAGCCATAGTTGAACACCTTGTCCAATGAGAAACCTTTACCTAATAATCTTTTCATGTTGTGTCTCATGTGCATAAGTGAGCATCTCATTTGCCTTATCACTGCCAGTTCCAACCATGAGTAAGCCCATACTTATACCAGCAGCTTCACCAGCAACAGCACTATCAGTGTAGAGAATATTTTTTATTTCTTCATAAATATCCTCATCAGCAGTTCCTAGGGATGCCAATCCAAGACCTAGACATGCACCATGTTGAATAACCTGCCCCATAAACATTATTATAACAATAGGTTATTTCTTGTTCAACAAAAAGAGCATGAGCATTATTTATGAGTACCTCAACAGTAGTACTGCGCAGGCTATCACGGAGAAATTGCTTGATGCCCTCTCCATGGTTAGCATGAATAAGACCAAGGGCATAGAGAGCACCACCTTCTGAGTATGGACTACCACCACCTCCAGTCCCACCCTGAGGCAAGTATGGTGCCATCAGTGACCTTCCCTGCTGCAAATGACCTCTATGGATAACACCAAGACCAGCTGTTGCACTAAATTTGGCCCAATTAGTAGCTCTGCTCAACCAATCCTAAAATTTTCAAGGGATAAAAAATTTAAGAATGGATAGAAATAAAAATGCATGGGAAACCAGCAGGTGAGGGAATAAAAAAGACTATGATAACTGACCAAATTTTCCCTTAGGAAAGTATCAACAGTTGTTCCAGCATGCATTATTGCATTGGCATATATTGTGGCACTATGGCAGACACTATTCCTCATCTCCACGGACTGCTTTATTGTCTTTAGAATGAGGAGGTCAGATCTAAATGCAAATTACAGCAAAACAGTATAAGAACATACTATCTCAGAGACTAAAACCAACAGAGAAACAAGGATGTACAAGAAAATGACTAAAGAAATTGTCTCACTTGTTATGGCTGTAAAGGAACTGCAGAGTCAACTGTATTGAAGTTTCCCCAGACAAAATTCCCTTTATTTTGTTTAACCTCTCTGCATACATTGTTTCAATTGGATCCTCAGGCACATTGACAGTAGCAACTGAATCACCATCTGTCATTTGGACATCATCTGGTCCATTGGTACTAGCATTATGAGTAGAAGCTGTGTCACTGGGTTTTGGCTGTGCAGATTCTGAAGGCTGAGACTTTGGTAATGCAAGGCGATCTCTAACATTTAGAAGAAATGCTTGGTGCTCATTCTCTACCAAATCAAAAGCTATTTGAAATGCCAAAAGGGCATCATCTTTGTTTTCAGAACGTAAAAGCTTCTCTAATATGCTTGCAACACCCTCTGGCTCATCCAAGAACATAAGACACTGACAAATGCTCAGATAATCTGGTGAAGGAAGCTTTTGAAATACCTTAACCAGGAGACGGAGAACCTGGACAGAGAACAAGGATCAATGCCAACTTCTGTCAGAAACACTATGATTAAAAAGTCTTCCTCACGTATTTTAAGTTGCATGACATGCCACAAGCCAAGAAGTAGTCAAAGAACATATTTTATCCATTCCTACAATTTTCAGTTCCATTTTCACACAGTATTCATCAGATCTTCCACTTCCTTGACTGCATCAACCCGTCCAGCAGGCCAAATATTCATCTCATTTGAGTATCAGAATTGACTAAAATTTAAGATATCAATTAAGAATCAAAGTCCAGAGAGATATTTCAAAGATAATTAAAACCATACATCCCAATAGAATACAACCATACAACTGGATTTGAATGGAATCAAAAGGAAAAGAAAAATTCCCCAGATGCATCATACATGCTGCTATGTATAGCACCTGAATACAAATAGATAATTTCAATTCCCTTACCTCCTGTCTGTATTCCCTAAGATTCACAAAGGAATGAGAGACATAAATGCAATATGATAGAGTCCCTTGGACATTGTCACTCCTTGTAATAGCTTCCTCTAGTTTATCTAATCTCCTGCACTCAATGGCAGTTCCCATAGCTTGTTGGTATTTTCCATCCACAATACACCTAAATTAGGGAAAAGCAACAAAAAAGTTAGGGAATTTCAAGAGTTAAGGCACATTTGGATAAAAACTAGTAGAATTATTATGGCTTACATACTTATCCAACAGTCTCTCCACAATTGCTTCCAACCTTGGGTCAACCTTGATAGATTCATCACTTGACTCTGCTACATTAGACTTAAGACTAGCATATTCATCTATGGCTTTAGCTGAAGATAAAAGAAAATAAACAAAATGTCCATTAGAACTTATCATGATTATACGGTAGATCAAAATTAGTTTATATAAATAACAATATAATTAAGTATACTAAAATGAAATGAATCAAACCATAATACAACAACTGAATCAATATTACCAAAGGGGGTCATTTTCATACAAAGGGATACCCCCTGACAGGGTCTTTATACAATTGCTTTATCAAAAAAAGAAAAAGAAAACAGATAATAATTCTCACCGAGAAGTGTATGCACATAATCAGAATCTTCTGAAACATCAAACAGAGGACCAGCTCCAAGGGCATAAGATAATGAGTCATTCAGTTCACCCAAGTAATAGAAAACCTGAAGAAAGAGTGAAATAAAATTAAATCATAACTAAATTAAACAGAACACAAATATTATGAAAAATGATCTTTCACAGCTGAGCTACTCAAAGAAAACTATTTCATATGAAAAATTGGCATCACTTAAATTTTCAATATAAGATGCTGTTCAAATCCTGAGCAGAACATAAATACCTTTGATACAAGAAGTGCAGCAAGTTGCCTTTGATGTTGATCAAACTCTTCATCTTCATACAAACTCTCTCTGTTTAACACATAACAAAACACACAAGTTCAATCCTCCACATTTCCATTTCTAACCATGGGCACCAAAGTTTTAATTCAACCAAATAACAGGAGAGAAGAAACATATTATCAAGCCAATCTAGGACCAAATAAGCATCAGTAACAAACCCTTCAAATTGTAGTAAAAAGAAGATTTAGCTAAAACTGTTTCCCTTGATCGAGAACCCATGCTTTCAAGAACAATGGATTTTAATTACTAAAAGTATACGTGAAGTGAGTTACTACACGAATGGACTGAGCGCCTGCACATAAAATATTACTGCTAAACAGTAACTAAAACCAAATACAATCCAATTACTAAATTAAAGAGTTTTGCTTTTATTATTTTAGGTTAAACTAAAAGGGTATAGCAATTGAAACGATATTACCTTCATCTAAACAAGCATAACCACATAAATAAGAACCACACGCAAAACCCCAAATCTAAATAATTACAAGTTCGGAACCAGAAACGCAGAGATCGAGAGGAAAAAAGAGAATGTGTACATGAGAGGGACACTGGTGGAGATCTCGGGCCAGAAGGTGTCAACGAAGTTGTTGAGGTTGGAGAGAGCATGAAGCTTAAGCGAGAGATGGGACTCGTTCAGCATCGCCAGCATCCCACCAGCGGAACTCACCAGAGTGGTCGCCATGATTGGGCAAATAAGAGATTACAGAGCAACTGAATTTGGGTGTTCGACGGAGAATTCGAATTGCTAGGGTTAGGGTTAGGGTTTGGGCCTTAACGGAAGTAGCGATCTCAACAGATGGAAGGAAGAAGAAACTGGGAGAGGGTTTGTGAGTGAAATGTGTATATACTTTGCTTTGTATTGTAGCAACTTCAATTCTTTTTCAACACGAAATGTATCAATTTGTCAATTTCTAAAAAATTTCAATTCCCATTTTTTTAATTCTTTTTATTCCAAAACACCTTATTAATTTATTATTTTCAGAAGTAAAAATGTTTTTTAACTATGCATATCATTAAATTAATTTTTCAATTTTAAAAATATGAAGTGTTAAAATTTAAAAAACTTAAAAAAATTATTTTAAGATTAATTCATAATTTTAACACTCTTTAAATTTAATTTATCTAAGAAAATCCTTAATATAATATACCAAAAAAACAAGTTTTAAAATTTTAAATATAATTAATAAATAAAAATACAAAATAAATATTAATGAGAGAAGTCACATGGTATAATAAAAAAATTAAAAATCCTTTTATCTAAAATGACTTCTAAAATACTCTAATGTAAAAGTATAACTCAAATTTAATATATAAAAATAAATGAATGAAGTTTATTTAAGTCGTTAATGTACTGTTCCTGTAACTAGTTATTGTCGAGTTGTTTATTATTTTTATATTATTTTAACTTCATTTATTGACAAATATTTTATATATTATACAAATATTTTAAAAATTAAACAGAAATATAAATAAAAACCTTTAAAATAACAAATAAGACATTATTATTATTAAATTTTTATATATATAACATCATTTTAAATTTTGGTAGTATAATTTTTTTAAGAATAAAATTATATATGTAACAATATAATAAAAAAATGAAATAGTTAAAAAATACTTACAATATTATAGTAACAAAACTATATCTAATTCTAAATAATATTTTAATAAGTTATTATTATATTAAATTACAATAGTATTAGCAAGTTTAAATCTCATTAAATATAAGTTTGTTAATTATTTAGAGGGAGATTTGTCGTCTATAAAAATTTTAATCTTCTTAAACAATATCCAAGTAAAAGATATTTAAAATTTTTAAAAAATTACAAGATCATAATTTAAATATTTAAAAATATTAAATTATCCTAAATAGATGTTTTGAAAAAAAAAATTGTTATAATATTGATGAAAATTTATTTATTTATTTATTTATATTTTAATTGATATGATTTGAACAGAAACACAATTTATTCCAATATTTAAATGCAATTACTGTTTTTGTATTTGTTTATGAAATATTTTATTTTATTTTTTATTTTTTCAAGAAATCCACTTGAAAAACGCAACAGAGGTGCCGTTTTGCTGTAGCATCTTCTCTTTGCCTTTGCTCGGTGCTCGCCGGTTTCATCCTCGCATTCACAAATCGCAACGTAATCACTCTTTCACTTGCTTTTCGGTCTTTGTTCGATTTTTCACGTTGATGCTATTTGTATGAGCTTCTAGTTGTGTTGGAATTCAAATGCTTGGACCAAACACTGTCTTATATGCACTCACTGTTATGCTCTTCTTCCGATTTACTTTGTTTAGGGTTCAACTTAATCTGTTGTTTAACATCAACTAGAAGTCAATGAAAATGTGTAGTTCATGCTGAATTGGGCCTTCTGATTCCCGAGCCCACATTTTCATTGCTAGAAAATGGATGAGGCCACGCAATTGCAAGTATCCCTCGACAAGCTTCCCATCAAGCGCTTGGATTCCATCGAAGAAAATGGAATCGAACGATTCCCTCCGTATGCTTCTTTTTCACTAATGTTGATGGATTTCAAAAGTATTTATAGGAATAAGAATATGGAACATTGAAAACCCTAATTTGTTTGTGTGTGTGTTTGTGTTATTGCAGAGATGTAGATTATGATGAAAAGCGGCTCTCGCTAATAAGGCGAATTGATTTTGCTTGGGCCATTGAGAAGGACGAGGAAAAGAAAAAACAGAAGAAGAGCTCAAAGGAGACGTCAACGCCGTGGCAATGGCAGAGCATGGTAGAAAATTTGCAGTTGGCGCATCAGGAGCTAACTGTCATCATAGATCTCATCAACACTGTGAGTAGTGCATGCTGCATTGTTACTTTCTGCATTGTATTACTGTTTTTTGTGATTTTGTCTATGTTTAAGGAATCCTCGTGAGAAGTTTAATTTTCCCTCTGAGTATCTGTTTGTAAATGCAAGAGTTTAAGAGTATTGCTTGAGGCTATTTGGCTTCTGACTCTTGATGAAGATCTCTTGTAAAAGCTTCATTTGGAGCATTCTTTAAAGGGAATTGCATTAGTTTCAATTTTCAAGGAATGGAATGAAGTGGAAAGAATTTTATGAATGTCAACTTACAATGCGAGAGGAATAAATAATAACCAGTTCATCGCAAGGCGTCTTGCTCATTTGATCATAATGGAACCTTTCCTGTATAGCCATGTTCTTTGTATTATCGGTGGCAACTATGTTTTAAATATTGATTAAGATATTCTGGTGCAGTTGTTTTTAGTGTACCTGTGTAAGTTATAGGCAGGCTGACAATACTGATACGATGTTTTGTGAAATCATTGTGTACAGGTGGAAGCAAATGATGCAGTTACAGTGGCTAGCATGACAAGACCAAAACTATTACCAAATGAAGCTTTGTCTGATCAGGCTGTATCTGCAGCCACCAAGTTGCAATGTTACCGTGTAAATATTCTTCTATCTTCTTTTTCTTTAAGAAAATTTGCACTTTTGTTTGTTTGAAGTTTATTTACATCCATCATAGTAAGTTAAGATCAGTTCCGCTTTCTAATGTTGTAAGTTCATTTGCTTAAATGAAAATAATGCTACTCAAAACTTGGGAGCAACTTGAGTGTCTTAAAACTTGTCAATGACAATTGGTTTGGTTTTTCTGGGATATGTAATGAAATCTTTGAACAAACTTTCTATTTTGTGCAGCACGTTGGGAAATATTTCAAGCAATCTGCCAAGGCTTTTGAACAACAGGTTGCTCGGGAAGCTAGGTTTTATGGTGCCCTTATCAGGTGAATTTCCATTCTTAACTATTTACTTTCATACTCTTTTGGGTCAATGCTGGCAAGAATTTCAGAACATGTTTAGATCTCAAAGAACTACATTTTCCTTGCCTTCAAAAGTTGGCTCCTAAGTAACTTAACACACTCCTGTATTCATTCATCAATAAAGAAACTCACTTTAGGAGAATGCTTGTTTACTAGTTTACATCACTACCTATCACATTTCCTGAACAGGTTACAGCAAAATTGGAAGGTTAAACGGCAACGTCAGGCAGCTATAGTTCCTGGGAATGAAGGCTTCACTTTGGATCTCTTTGATAGCTCGTATGATCAAGCAACTATTGTTCGGTCATTGTCTACGTCCACTGTTCGTGTAAATCATGATGCGGCTGGAATGCTCGCAATAAATGTGTCTCCCGATTTATGCCATTCTCTCCAATTTGGTTTTGTTGGTGCACAATCAGAGGATATTGTACGGAGAAAATCCAATGAAGACAAATCCCACTTTCCAGGTGAGCATTATTTGGGAGAAACTGGCAAAGAGTCCTCAAGTGATGAAGAGTGTGTTAAGAAAACGCATTCACTCCTTCGTGAAGTACATCAAGCAATTTTCAATGAACAGGTAGATTTTTTTCTTTCATTATTGTTGTTGGTTTGCTGTGTCTAGTTTGTCCAATATTCATGCTTTTAACATTTCCTGGTTTGTTGCTTCGGTACTGTTATGCTTTCAGGTATTTGATCTGGTGAACCGTGAAGCATTTAACACATCTACAGGTGTCAGTGTGACTGGAATACGGGAAAATTATTTACAACTAAGCTTAGGTCAAGGAACTTTTGTGTACTTATCACTAGTGTCCAAAAGTCAAGATCATCCTACAGTTGAAGGTGAACTCACCAATAACATAGAAAATGCAGTTTTACCTCTGGAATCATCTGATGAAATGGAGCTTGATGCCAAACAGAACACCCCTAAGAAGAAAGGGCAGTTTTCTAATCCTATCTGCTATGAGATTTACATTCAACAGATTTTTCACGAACATATATTTGGAAGAGGTAGTGAAAAACCAATTACCTCTGGTAATCGTTCATCTAGCATACAGGCAAAGGATGGATCCAGTCTTCTTGGCCATTTTTTTATGTCTTTGGCTCACAGGATCTTTTCGAGTAAAGTTCTTGCAGAGCTGGAAAATTTGGTATTACTCTTTTTAAATTTGACTTTAGCTGCTTGTTAAATAGACATTTTGTTTAGTGATGTCATTGATACCTGCAGGTATGCAAGGTCCCATATCTCCAGCTAGTTTCTAATCCCACGTGGCATTCACGGGCATCGTCGTGGACTCTCTTTATGGAGGTTCCTCAGTCTATTCTTCGTGGAAGCCAAGTGAAAACATCAGATTATTACGAGAAAAATGCTATTAAGCGTCAGTTTTGGACGAAGGTGGTGGTAAACGATGATTGCATCAATGTTACAGCAGAAGGTTCTCCAAATGTCGCAGGCCTGTTCAAGGGAAAGTCTGAGGAAACCCACTCAATAAACAAATATGACTGCAACTTAGCTGATCTTCCTGTGATCATTTTGCAGCAGGTAAAAGAGAAAAAGAAATTGATGTCACTGCAGTGACGTTTGTATTCATAAGTGAATTGCCTGTATGTTTCCAAGTCTTACGTGTAATAATAATGCATGCTTATTGCAATTTAAATCATACAGGTTGCGAGCCAAATTATTAATTGGCTCTATCAGGAAGCTCTGATGGTTGGGATAAAAGCGAATCGAGACTTCTTATGCTTATCTTTTGAGTTGGAGCAGGGTGAAACACTTGGCTTGGTTGCAAATGTTAATCCAGAAGATAGTGAAGGGTGTATATCTTGGTCGTTGGTCATGGAGTATAGTTTTGCAGAGGAGCAAAAGCTTCATATGAACATCACGGATGGTGCATCTGAATATAGGAAATTCATAGGTCACTTGTCTCTTGATTTGTTATACGCAACACTAATCGACTTGGTTGGCTTATGCAGTGGTGGTGCTGGCCAATGAATTTGTATCAGTGTTTTTCTTGCACTCGTCAAGTGGCTGATCGCCCAGGTCTTAGGCGACCATTGTATTATATCCATGTCTTTATGTAATCCATGTACACTACTCCACCTTAACTGTTTTTTCTGTTTCTATTTGAGAAAAGAATGTATAATTCATGCAAACCATAATCCGAAACCAGCTTGGAAATTTTCAAATCGGTTTTGTACACCACCAGTTGCAAATTCTGCACTTGACCCTGATCAAATACAAGTGCGATAGGCCTTTACTTGCTTTCTTTCGTTTGCTTACTTTTTGTGATCTGTATCCACTTGAATGTTATTGTATTCTGTTGTTTAACTAATTTCATAATGCCTTTTTCTGAGACCAAGCTAATACTTTTAGTGTTGACCCAAAAGTACTTACTATTAGTTTTTAGTAAGTAATCAAAACTAGAATTTATGTTTGTTTCTCTGTTTTCTGTTTTTAAAAATAAAATGTACATATTTTATTTTTAAAAAGAGAAACAAATAAACATCTTTCGCTTCTTGAGTTTTTTAAAAAATACTAAATTTTTAGTTTTATTTTAACTTTTAATTTGTCTTTATTTTTATTCTTAAAAGACTATGAAAAAGTATAAAATTGACTTTTGTTTTAGTTTTTAACACAACACTTTTATAATCAAAAGTAAAAAAAATGAAAATAGAAAATTTTCTTTAAATAAATAGTTTTTAGTTTCTCAATGTCTAGTAAATATATTATTTTTAAAGTCGAATAGCAACAACCGAGTGAGATAGAAAGTAGCAAGTTCATTAGATTTTTATATTAATATTAAACGTTATATTTGAATTCAATTATAAAGGGGATCACTCTATACTGGTCATTCTCAAAATATAAATATAATTCATTGAAAAATAAATAAAGTAAAGAGGAAAAAGGAATAAATTAACATTATTTTAGAAGTTAATTTTGTTGGATGTACAACAAAAAGCGATACTATCGTTACATTTGTTCTTAAAAGAAAACCGAAAAAAAAAAGCAACCTTTACATTAAATTTTATCAGAAGGCTTGGTTTCATAAAAAATTCTAAAATAAAATCACTTTATTTCACACTCAAATATAACTAAAATCAGGAACATAAAAATTAATATATTAATTGCCCATCTACAAACAAATCAATCAAATGACCATGTCATCAAATGACTTGCAAGTACGATTTTGATTTATCTTATTTTATAGAAATGATTTTTTTTAAAAGAAGAATGAATTTAAATCTTCATCTATTATGATTAAAGAATTGGTCCACTCATTAAATTTACTAAAAAATATATTTTCTTAAAATTCTTAAGATGAAGGTATCATGTTACTCGAATACAAGAAAGGATTCAAGTGTAAAGTAAACTAACTTTCGTAATATAGAAATAAGCACTTTTGACACATGCACTAAACAAGTGGCAACCATGCAAAAGTGGAATCACGTTATTTATTACATTTTTGTTCCTAGAGATATTTACACCATGATGATGATGATGATGATGATGATGTGATGAGAGTAACAAAGTAAAAAAAGGTCTACTCCTTGTTGTGATGATGTTTTCCAGGAAGCTTCTCCTTTATTTTCTCTATTATTCCTTTCTTGTGATGATCATTATCATGAACATTGTGCTCCCTCACACCCACTTCAAAGCTAGTGTCACCGGTGGTTTTACCATAATCATCTGCTACCACTTGTTCACTGCCAATGCCAGTGGTGTCTCCGGTGGTATCCATTTCCTTCTGAATTGTATCATTGCTTGCTGGAACAGCACCGTATTGGTTCTGGTAGTGTGCCATTATTTTAGTTATAATATTATATCACACTCACCCTTTTCTTCTTTATTCCAAATTTCAACGTTTTGGTTAGTGTATATATGTAGATGATTTATGCACCTACCCACATCATATACGTAGCTGAGTCATTGAGATTGCTACCAAACGTTGACATTTGTCACTTGCTAATGTTGCTGCGATACCCACGTCACTACCATCACCAATGCTACACATATTTCAGGAAACGCCCCAAGCGTCTAGTTTTTTCCTTATCCCTTACAACATAATAAATGTATAAGAATAATGTAATGCATTTTTTCACCACCCATATATTTAAAAATTTAATCTTGATATACTACTTAAAATTGTATTATTCTTGATTCTTAAAGTTGATGGTAAAAAATAACAGTTTTTTAATTAAAATAAATTATGATAAAAAAGAATACCATCTTTAAATTTTTAAAATCAATTTTAAAGACTAAAATTAAGTATTATTAATCCTTTAAATTAATAAAAATTATCTTAAATACAGTTATTATAATAATTTTTAATTATATGATACTTTGTATATCACATTTATCATATTTTATTTCTACTAAGTAATCCGACTATGTTGCAAATGTAAACATATACCATGTATCAAGATTCTATTTATTCATGAAATATTAACAACTTACTAAGATTATAGAAAATTTTAATTTATTAGTCGGATAAGAGATGCATAATTTTGTTTGAATGTAATATTCTAATTCATCAGTGAGTTTTCTGCGGAATTCAATGCGTCCGAAGCAGGAAAACGAATGAATTAAGAGTGAAGGAAGAAATATTTGGCAAAGGTTCATATCATGAAATCTAAGCATTATTAAGCACCAACCTTTTCTTCTGATTATAACAACTAACAAATCTCATAGGAGATAATTTTACAGGATTAAAAAAAGAAACTATAGAGAAACCATTCTGATATATCTAAGTATTGAGATGCAAAAGAAAAATATTGAATTTACATAATTTTGGCCATCCCTTTGGAGAATCTGTACACAAGTTGGGGATGGAAAGTTATGGGGTGGTATACATTTACTCGGAGATCCAAATCAAGAATCCTCAACCTCTTCGTTGAAGCCACTAGTTACCAACCAGCAAACTATGAAAAAATGCCAGTGATGATCTCAAATTAAGTTGCTTATGCAGTTCTTCCATTCTGCAAAGAATCTGGTGAAGCCTTGGGCTTGAAAAACTCTGCAACTGCTTGATACAGATTCTCTTCCTCAAAAGGCTTTGAGACATATCCATCCATTCCACGTTTTAAGCACTCATCATATGTAGCTTGGATTACATCAGCTGTCATGGCCAATATTGGTATATGCAACTCACTTTTTCTGCAATTTCCTTCACCATTCATATGCTCATTTGCCTTCCTCTCCATCACCCGAATTTGCCGAGTTGCTTCAAACCTGCAAATGTTATATGATATTTACTTGTTTATATGGTTTATCAAATCAAATCCCATGCATATCTCAATATGAAGAGGTGGTGAGGTGACATTATTTTCCCTGGATGGCACAGTCAATAACAAGGTTCATATAGATGATACACTTGAAAGATAGTCTGTTAATGGTGAACTATACAATCAATTTCTCTTTAGCCTGTTAAATTGCAGGGAAAAGGATAAGAATCAACGAGCAATTAAAATCATAGATCAGGTTTTCTAAGGGGAAAAATGAATATTGTCACATAATGAATAAAAGTCTTTAAGATTTAGCTCCCCTTAAGTGAGGAGATGTGTACAGTGAGAGAATGAAGATCTACCCACACTATTTGAATTCAAGTATTTTGGAAACATAACCAACTTCAAATCAATAGTGGATCGACCCTCACTTTAGCAGAGCTGAATCCCTATTGTGTTATATTTGGCTGGCCTGATTAAGATTTTCTTAAAATTAATATAACTTAAGGATGTTAAGGCAAGGAATACAAAATTTGAGAGTGGGTCATATGAAGAAAAAATTGGAAAATAGTTTACAATTGAGTGAAGATCAAAACTAAAGGGGAATGGTGGAGGTGAGGGAACGAGCCAAGTCCTAGGATACCTCACCTCCCTCCAGCCCAGCATTTACATTCTGTAAAAGAAATGAGTAAATTGAGAATACAAGAGCTGCAAGCACATATTTGACAGAACATAAGGATTAACAGAACTGAAATGCTATTCAAATATAGGATATATGTCTCGAAGGTGACAATTCAATTATAATAAACATTTGCATCTCACCAACTCTTTTTTCTTTTTTGTTATCTGACTTGATTTTTAACCTTTCTAAACTGAGTTAAGGTACCTGAATTCTTTTTAGCTAAATCTACCAACATCAAGAAGCTTTAAGTTTTGAAGCAGAAAATATATTCTCTCATAATTTGGTTGTAGATGGTATCTTACACAATAAATTATTATCCATGGAGTAATAAATCTGCTAACTGCTATTTCAAATGTTCTAACATTGACACAGTTCATCGTTGACAATTTTGCTCTTGTTATGTAACCTATGTTGTTATAAGCAACCATCAAATGGGAAAACCACGGGACCAAGTAGGTTATGCTAGGAAATCTATAGGACCAAGTTAAACTTGCATTGAAAAAATTCATAGAGCCAACAAGACAAATTTTTTGGTCAACAGTAGCCTAATATCATATTTATAATAGATTCTAAGACCATCTTAAATTTGGACACTTAACTCAACCCTAAAAACTGGCTCATAAAATAAAAAAATGTTTTGCTCATAAAATAAAAAATGTTTTAACTTTTATAAGCTCTTATTTAGCCATATCTATCGTCGATGCAGAACTTCAACAGAATGTTTATATAAATTGCAAAATGATTTCATGTTAACACACCAGTATCATCTTAACACTTTAGGTCAGTTTCCAACAACAGAAATTGTATACAATCTAATCTAGATTATCTGCAAATAATAGGGCAAAAAAAAATGAATAGTACCATTACAATAGTACTAAGTAGGGAAATAATTGGTAGCAGTCAATGCAAATAAACATACCCGTCCATTTCTGGCATCTGAATGTCCATGAAGCAAGCATCAAAATTGTGAGGCAATTGAAGCATTTCAAGAGCAACTTTGCCACTTTCTGCACACTTTACATCGGCTCCAAATTTTTTTAATGCACCTGCAGCTACCCTCCGGTTTACCGCATTGTCATCAACCACTAAGATTTTCTTTCCACAAAGAAGGCTTCGTACAAAAGTGATGTCTTTCCCTGGCTGCCTCTTCTTCCCCATTCCCAGAACTTGCTGAAGACAGGCAGCCATCATACTAGCTCTAAGAGGCTTCATGATCACGGTGTCACTGAAACCTGCACCTTTAGGTTTATCAAATTCAGCATTTGCAAGAAGGATTATTTGAGGCATCTTAAACGCATGCCCATTCTGTTTCCAGTCAAGTTGCCACACATTGAAGATCCCATCCTCTCCACAAACCCATGAATCCTTCTCAACAAAAATAATATCAGGCTGAAATGATCTGCCACATCCAAGCAGTATAACTCAGTGAATGAACTGAACCACAGACATAAACACAAGTCTTTCTACAAACCAGTATAATATTTGTCATGTAATGTCTAAATAGACATATTGGCCAAACTAAACTAGTTTAAGAATATTTATTCACGAGAAAAAAACAGTCAATATCTTTTAAGTAATTAAAAAGAATCAGTGAATGCAATTTCTTTATGAATTAGAATTAAGAATAATACAAGCAATATAACATTGAGAAATAGAATGCTCAAAACATCAAAATTCCACATTAAGCTTTGTAAAAGACATACCCAATAACATCATGAAAAAAATGGCATAATTTGTTATTAAGTTGACGATAGCTCTAGTAAAACATCACATACAAACATTTGAAAACCCACTCCAATAGGGGGAAAAGATTCAAAAGGCAACTTAGCATTTTAGTAAGACAAGACTATGCCATCTCTGCCTGCCTATATATACAGAAAACCATGAAAATCTGGTGGGATCCTTGTGCGGTATACTCCCCAGTTAAATTGCAGAAATGCATTTCAATTAATATTGCAAATTCAGTTTACAAGGGCTAAAAATAATATCATAATTTATAAGCTTATGTTAGCAAAAATAACTAAAATGCTTTTGTTTGTTGTCACATTCCATTTCTTCATAATAGATGCCAAAAAGGGAAATTAAAATCTTACCCTGAGGCCTTCCCACATAATGAAACAGCCTTATTGATGCTATTTGCAAATTTAACCTGTATTCCTAGTCTCTTCAAATGGTATCTAGTCACAGCAGCCCTAACAGGTTTTCCATCAACCACTATGGCTTTAAGCCCTCTAAAACCGGATGGCAGATCTTCCAAATTAAGTTTCTTCACGTCAGTTATTGAATTTTTCTTTACCGTTCCAAAATCTGTAGTAAACGAAAACGTGCTCCCAACCTGGGGTCTGCTTATGAAACTTATCTTACCACCCATTAGTTCAACCAGGCACTTACTAATACTCAAGCCAATGCCAGTACCGCCATAATGTCGAGAGGTTGAGCTGTCTGCTTGCACAAAAGGCATTAAAATCCTATCTTGAGCTGAGAAAGGAATTCCAATTCCAGTGTCCTCCACACTGACCATCAATGTGACTTTCTCATAAGATTCACTGGAGGCCACCTTTTTAACAGACGCATCAAAGAAAAATTCTTCATTGGCAATTAGATGCTTAAAATTATCCCAGTTGTTCTGCTCATCAGCTGCTTCATATCCACTTAAAGTTTTGAAATTATAACCACCAGACATGTGCACAACTTCATCTGATCCTCCATTTACAAAAGTCTCAATTTTTCCATTCATCGTGGACATTCTATTTTCAGCTACATGGACTTTCACAAATATATGTCCTCGCTCCGTGAACTGCAAGATATTAAAGTTAATCAATAATGTTATTAATAAGTACCTTGCTAATCTACTATTGAATACAATAGAGAAAACGAACTTGAAGGATTCAGACACTGGCTCCCAGGTAAAAACTTGTAAACAGTTAGATTAGGACATTTCCAACACCCAACATGCATACTAGTAATACAAATGCACATAACAATAACTTTAGAGAAATTAACTTTGAAAATTCCACTTACTTTAACAGAGTTGCCAACAAGATTTGTTACAATTTGCCTGAATCTCCCAGGATCTCCCTTAACAATATCTGGAACTTTATCAGAAACGAACACTGCCAGCTATACTTCCCAGAAGCATATCAATTCCACATCAGAAAATTGTGCATTGGGATCCAAAGTAGGAACATCACCCGATGACATAGGAACCCAAAAAGGAGAGGAAAATGAAATAAGATGATCAGTTAAAATAACAGGAAATACAATTATGATATTCTACAACTTGGATAAACCAAAACGACCTTTGTTTCTTCCAAATGAGTTCAGCAACAATTAAACATACCTCCAAACCTTTGTTCCTAGATTTCTCAGAAAATAGAGAAAGGACATCATCAAGTATGGAACGAATGTCAAATGGAACTGCTTCCAGCTCTAACTTGCCAGCTTCAATTTTAGCTCGGTCAAGCACCTCATTTATTAATGCTATGAGAGCCTTCCCACATGCTTGAGCAGTCTGAGCATAATCTCGTTGAGTTGAACTCAATTCTGTGCTTAGAAGCAGACCAAGCATTCCTACAATAATATGAAGTTTAATGATAGCATCGCTAATGACAAAGTGGAATGCACATGTCACTTTTTAGGGAGAGAGAGAGAGAGAGTCTTGAAGTTACCTAAAATGCCATTCATGGGTGTTCTAATTTCATGAGAAACGGTAGCTAGAAACTGACAATGAAAACAAATTTTCAATTTTAGTGATCAGAAAGTAATCCAAGAAAGTAATGAACTGTGCCAGTAAAATATATCAAGAAGAACACCTGTGACTTGGCAACATCAGCTGCTTCTGCTCTGACTTTCAATTCCTCCATTTTATGGAAATCATCCTCTACTTTGACAATATGATTTCCAGCACCATATAAAATATAACCCACTAATAAGAGAATCACAAAGAATAGGAATGCCGTAGTAAGTGCTATCCAATTTGTCGGTGCCTTCTGGTGATACCTGCTCAAAAACTCGATGATAATAAGCATCAGCTGACCAAACAATTAAACGTCTTTCAGAAAATATACAACAGTCAGAAGCACCTACCTACATATCATCTGATGTTTTCTGTATGGATCTCCAAAATTAAGCTTACTTTCATGGACAAGAGACATATCGCCTTCTTCATTTTGGTTGCCATACATGATTAAGGGGTCAGTAGAGTTTGTGACATCATATACATTAACCAATATAGCTTGGTTACCAGCAAGTTGACCCAGTAAATTTTCCACGAGGGACTCGACATCAAAGGATCCTCCAACATATCTGCTTTCAATTAAAAATTTAATGGAACACATCATGACATTAAGAAGCTTACAGCAACCATAAATCAACAGATTGAACCATAGTTAACAGACCTATCCCCCACCTTATCCATAGAAAGCAATAATGAAATTCAAACTACAAGTCAGAGAGGACAAGAACAAAAGACTGTAGCACAAGGGACAGTGTTGAACATTGCAATGTAGTAACAGCTCTAATAGATTGAAAATAGACTCATAATTAATGGAAATGAAACAGAAGTCGCTATCACATCTTTTGATCTTCAGTACAAGCAATTAAGTGTAATGGAGACAAAAAGCAGAGTTACGGTGCAGTCTGTCTTTTATCACATATTATTAACATTTCACACCAGTGGAATCATCAGGGGTATTAATTGAGACTTGAACTTTAGAGTAGTATCAACAAGTCCTCTGTAGAATTATTATTACCCTTGTTTTAGATTGAATAAAAAGACATACAATTATCCAATGGTGCTTCGTAAAATGCATCATTAACACAATAATGCACCTAAGATTTTAACCACCCTCATCCTTTAATCACTTATATGATCCACAAGACAAAAACCCCAAAATATTGTGAAAACATACTTGACAAGCCAAAATGAAGGAAATTGAGGACATACCCTGCTGTTGCTTTAATGCGCTCTTCCATACTTGGCTTTGGAGGGAGCTTAGATTTATAAACTGGAAATGTTAAAACCACACCAAGATGATGAGAACCCAGCAGCCTAAAAGGGCTAGTCAAAACAGCTTTCCCAGTGGCCCTAGCCCTCAAAATGTTCTCTCGGTCCTCCTGGATCATGCAAATGAGAAATTGCAGTTAAAAAATTTTACATAATACAAGAAGAATAATGTTGACAAGGTTTGTTATCTACCTCTCCAGACATCATATCAAGAGATTCAAGGTAAGAGACAGTTTCTTGTGCAAATATCACTGGTGCATACTCATCTCTAACCTGTGAAGGTTCCCTTCCCATTGTCTTGATACCCCATCCATGTAGCTTCTCGAATGTTTCTCTCTCTGAGTTAACCACTCTTTGTGCATAGGCCACACCACTAAGTAATGGCCGTTCAAATGCAGTCCTGGCTGTATACTCAGCAAAGGTTTCCTGATGAGCAATGAACAATAGTCAAGATAAAAGAAAATTGGAGGACGAAAACAACTCAATTAGATTAGAATCAGGTGATACAGAAACCAGAAATGTCAAAAAGCACCAAATAGTCTTTCATTTTCTCCAACCAACATGCTACAACTAGTTCCAAATACAAACCAGAATGCAAGATCGAGCACAAACCTGGTCAATGGCAGAAGGGCTTCTGAAGTAATGGAAGGTTGAAACAAGAATGGCAAGGGCATGGACATGGTTGACACTAACACTGAATTGATCTTGCAGCATTCTTGCCCGTTGATCACAGAGGCTACCCAACACCTCTTTTCTTCTCACTTTAGTGTCAGCATCCATTTTACTATAAATGCAGCAACCAATTAGAGCCATCAGAAGGATCCACATCATCAAGAACTTGGGAAGCCATGCTCTATGTGCCTGAATGAAAGTGTACTTTCGTTTGCTCCCCGCTTGCTCATGCAATCTCAAAGCCACAGGGTGGTGACTGTGGCTCTGCATCTTCAAACCAAGACCCATCACCAACAAATTCGCTATGTCTAGCCTCCTCCTTCTCTTGTTATCTTTCTGCCCTCTTCATCATATCTATAAAAGTTGGAGAAAGCCCCAAAAATAATTGTAGTGAGTGCTAATATAGGAGGAACTTACTTTGCTTAAAGTAGAAAGTTCTTGCAAAAGCTCAAGAGACTTCTATCCGTTAGTTGGAAGAAAAAGGTTGCGGAACAAAACTCCATGTACGGCATCATTACAGCATTGTTTTGCGTGATTCAAAACTCGGAAAGAAGAAGCAAAACAAAACCAAGCATGATGAAAGATTGGCCAAATTATTTTCTTATGTTTTTTAATCTCCTATACCCTATTTCAAAAATCACACCAAGAAAAAAAAAACATTTCAACAATAGACTGAGAATTTAAAAGAAGAAAAATTCACAAAGCGCAAAGACAAGCATGGGTCTCAAAAGATGGGGAAAAAAGCTCAAATTTCAAAGAACCACCTTCCCCTCTCCCAACAGCCAATATTTGTGTGTGTTTTTTTAAGAATCGGAATAAAAAAATGAAGAGAACTCTAATCATGCTGTGTAGGCGTGAAACTAGTGTTTACTTAAGGACAAAGAAGAGCACGTTCACACTCTTTCTTCCCATATAATAATCAAAGCCAGAGATTGACCCCAAAAACACACACAGCGAAGCACACAACCCAATGAGAAAGAGATAGAGATGAAAGGGTTGTTGAGACTTGAGAGAAACCATGTTTACCTGTCTGTACAAGAAAGAGAAGGTGGCGGTACACTGCACAATTGGAACCCGTTTGGTTTGGTTTGGTTCGTCTTGATCTGTGCCCCTCTCTCTCTCTCTCTCTCTCTCTCTCTCTCTCTCTGTACTTGCTTATTTTTTATACCCTTTACTATGTGTGGCTACGTTTCTCTTCTGTTGTCTCCTTTTCTTCGTTTAATTTAAGCACATAACTTAACTAAATCGAATTTTCCACGATTTTCCCAGATACGCTGTTGTCCCCCTTCTACCTCTCTCTCTCTCTCTCTCTCTCACACACACACACCCATAAAAATATAGTACAGCAGTCAAGTCAAGTCCTTTCTCTCTCTAACCCTTTTGAACTCTCTCTCTCTCTTCTTGCAACAATGCCAGTGAATTTCTTTTCACACCAACTTTTTCTCCTCCCCAATATAGTAACTCTTTTACAAGCTTGAGAAGAAGACACCCAAATTCTCAAAGGGAATAACTTTGGAGCAGCGAGATATCAAAACTGAACCAACCCAGTTAACTACCTGCTTCTGTTTCACACTTTGGAACTCGTATGCCTGAAAAAGATTGAAAATTTCCACACTCCCCACTTCAACCACGACACTATCATGCGACCCGAATCGTTTTTCTCACCTGGGTTTCTCTCAACTCCACCGTTTCCTTGTACCTTTTTCTCTGTGTTCCAACAACGTTAGAACAGGAACAGAGGAGAGAGAAAGAGAAGCGGAGGAGTGAGAAACCAGAAACTGGAAATCACTATCACAAATCTGAGCGATAATGACATGGCGACAAGGCGCGGATCTTATTCCCATGTGAATTACCAGAAACACCCTCGAGATATAATCGACATTAATTAGTTAATTAATTAAATTAGTTGGCTTGTCTTTGCTTGCATTTGACTGTGGACTAAACTAAACTAATGTATTTTCCATAATCCATTCTAATCTTCTGTTACATTTACTGTATAAGCAGTTAATTTAGTTAATATTTTAGATTCCCTATTTTGGTTAGATAAGTTTTATATACATTTAAACCTGTTCTTAAATTCTAATTAGACTTTCCTCTCGTAAATCATGCATTAACATTATACTTTTTTTTATTTTAACATGTGAATCTATTTCTCACCAAAAGAAGGGACCAATGTTAACTCAATTTTATGTTACAATAAAAATTGACAATATTTATAGATATGCCATGCGGTGTAGTGTTATCATACAAGTTGAAGAAATTAATATAAAATTACAAAAAAAATATTCAATGTAATTTATAGAAAAATGATTCATTATTTAACAAATATTTTTAAACTAATTAAAACAAAAAATCTTTGCCCGTGAACGTCGGTTTAATTAGTTGGTAAAGATAATAGATGTATTTTGTCCTCCACTGTGTTTCAGAGTCAACTTTCTTAGGAGTCAACTCAACATTATAATTAATATTATTATAATAGAGGAGACTGTAATAAGACTCGACATTTATCTAAAATTTTCAATTTCTGAATTGTTAAAATTAAAATTATGATTCTTTGACGATATTCTGAAAATTAATGTTCCTAAATTTACACGATTCCATAACGCAGATCAAATTCTCCGTCAAAATTTAAGTATTTAGTTTTTTTAAATTTTGTAATTACGATTTCTTAAATTTAGTTTTGATTTAATTTAATTTAGTGGTTTATTGGATTAGGATTTTAAAATATTTTTTTTGTTAAAAAAAATCCTGCATATTTTAAAAGACTTTTTAGAATTTTTATAATTTTTAAAACTTTGCAAGATTCTTTTGAGACTTTAAAATCATGATTTTAGTGAATTCAGCATAACTTTTAAGTTAAGATTTTAATAGATTTTGTGAAACTTTGTGTACTTTGCAGAATTTCATGAGTTTTTTATAAAAAAAAGTTTAAATTTTTTTTATATATTCAAATTTAAAAAATTTTAAAGATAAAAATAATAATATCTATATAATTAATAATAATAATTCTCCATAATATCATGTCCTTCCAAATAGTATTCATTCACATATCCACAGCTACACTAGTCCTCCAAGCATTAGGATCTTCTCATTCTTACTCCTGAATTTTAATAATAGGCTAAAAAATATTATTTTCATTAACTGATAATGTTGAAGATGAAGGTTCGTCTATCGATTCAATTGAAAATTTATCATAACGATATCCTTCTTAATTCAAGTTTCATAGTTTTCTTTCTCTCTTTTATTATTTTTTTTTTGTGAATCTCTCATTTAAATTATTAAAACAACTTATGTTAGAAACCTAGTTATATAAATAATTATAGATAAAAATACTTATTAAATTTATATCTCACTTAATAGGTATCCATATAATTAAAAATAATATTATAACTCTACAAAAGACTTGAATGCTATATATATATATATATATATATATAGCAGTTATTATTTTATATTTTAGATATTTAAACATCTATTTATTCAATTAAAAAATGTTATATGGTATAATTAAATATCTTGAACTTAATAGTTAAAGGTGTTAGTTAACTATTTAAAAATCTACAGTTGATTACAAAAACCATGATATCAATTTCAACTTTCATTCTTCCCTTTTCTTGATGCGTGTTATAAACAAATTATTACTTAAAAATTTAAATTTCAAGCATTTTTTTTGTTATATATCTAAGAAATAAAATTAATGACTCTGTTATTTACATTTTCACTAAATAATAAAATGGGAACATTAGTACAATATTATATATGAATAGTAGTGCAATATTATTAGTATAGGAAAAATGAAAAAAATAGAAGTATAGAAAAAAATAATGAAAAACTCATTTGAAAATTCTTGAAGCACTCGAAAAATCATTTCAAATAATCCTCTAAAATCTGATGGATTTGAATGAAACTATTTTATGAATTTAGTATTTATAGATATCACTAAAAAGTCCTTTAAAATTTTTCTAATATAACAATCCTTTAAAATACTTTATTTTTTAATATCAGTAGATTGTTTTTAAGATATAAAAAGTATCAAATGAATACCAATGAATTTTAACGAATTTTTTTAAAAAATATTAGAAATCTAAATTGAATACTACTAAATTATTTTTAAGTGACATAAAATCCTGATTAAATACTGTCTTAAAAAAATATTTAAAAATCTTATAAAATCCTAAACCAATACATGCCATTAAATAGCAAGCCGGCCCAAATTAATTTTGCAATGAAAAAATTCAAGTTCTTTGTGAGGATCTGAATTAATATTAGTGAAAAAAATTAATTGTATTTGTTATTTTGGTAATCAATATCATGTATGAGTTTAATCTATTAAATTTTCATGTTCAAGAAAATTAAATCGATTTATTTACTTGAAATTTTATTTATCTAAAATATTGATTTCATTTTTCAAATATTGAAAACTTACTATGAAATTTAGATAATAAAATGATTATTTTTAAAATATGAACTTTCAATAAAATTAAAAAATTGAGTAGAATGTTAGATATATAAAAGGAGAAACATTAGGATTATATTATTTTAAAAATCACAATATCTTAATGAAATAATTTTGAATGAAAAAGGGGTCTAAAATGATTTAATTGATTTAAATTAAAGATATTAATTAGAATAGATAAATGATTTAATTGATTTAATATATTAATTATTAATTTGATTAGCATAGATAAATGATATAAAATAAAAAATTATAAACAAAATAATGATACTAAAGCGTATACAAAACAAAAATTTAATAAATCACAACATCTCAAAAGCATATCGGCAATGGAGTTTTGACTTTTATATTTAAAGTTTATGATTAAAAGTCATTATTTTATCTATTTTAAACAAAAAATACAACATTGATAAATAACAACATCTGTGGTCTAAAATTATGAAAAAATAGTTAAATTTTAATGTGCAACATGATCTCCTTAATTGATGAAACCCAAAACCTATGGCTTGCAAAAATAAACAAAATAATGAAAAATGTTGATTACATGATAGAATGATGATGAGTTGTAAACAACTGTGGCAAGCTTTGCTTTTGTGTGGAAACACATGGTGATGAAGAATCCGTGACATTGCATCAGGGCTCAAAGAGAAGAACATAACATATTAATAAAATGGTGCCTCACCAAATGAAGAGCACCAACAAGTTTAATAAGGTTAAGTTCATAAATATTGTCTAATTCTTTATTTTTCACTCTCCTTAATACATGTTACTTTACAGATAAATCCTTGTTTCTTATTCTCCAAATCTTCTCTTGCATGTGGCTCTAATAATACTCAGTTACTTTTTAATTGTATTTTTATACTCAATGCATGTGAACCTTTCTAAATATAGATAGAACTTACATAACAATCTACGTTAAAATAATAATAATAATTCAATCTTGTAGATGTAGTTTTTATTATGTAAATTTGATGATTTTATTGAAATTCAAGTGATATCATGTAAGTCAAATTCTTTGACTTTTAGTGGGCATCTGTTCATTGAAACGTGGCAAACAAATTGAAGATAAAAACTAATGGATAAAATTTGTTGTTATATTCAATTAATTTAATTAAATTAGATAAAATTAGAATTAGCAACAAAGTTGTTATTGTCAGCTCTGTTATGCAACTACATTCTCATGAATTATATCTGTCTCATGCATTTGTTAGCATTTAGACGTCCCCTTAAAATATAGTTAAATGTAATTATTTTTAATAAAATTAAACTTAAAGTGTTAAATATAATTAAAATATATATTTAAATTAATTTGAATCATTAATTTCCATAAAAATATGATTTTTTATTAAAAATGTAAGGAATAGTTTTTAAATTTTAAAATAAATAAGACCATAATTAAAAAAAAATTAAATTTATTTCAACAATCTTCTCTATATCAGCTATAAAAATAAACATTTTAAAATTTTTCATTAAATTTATAATATCATTTTTATAAAAAAAAAACATTAAATAAACATTTACTTAAACTATATGTCCAAACACGTCCTTAAAAAATGTTTAATTAGGCATGTCCCACGCCAACCATGAGAAAGCAATCTTTTGACACACCAATCCTTTCTTTGGGCTCTTACACGTTGAGTGCTAAACATTATAAATTTATTGGCCTTTTTTGTTTTGTTTAAATTTAAATCTTACATTTTATTAAATGAATTTGAATAAACTCAAAACGAGTTCACTTTGTCAATCATTGCAATAAAATGTTTTAAATTAGTTTTTTTTATACATTATTTTAAAATATACCACAAAATTGTCTAAAACTGTGTATAATTTGATTGTTAAAACAACAAAAGATAAAGTACAGCAGAAATAGTTTTTGACCAATAAAGCTGCGTGAATATGCTTATATTTATTATAAATAAATGATTTGATGTCTTGATTTTCTTCAGTGTACTTTCTCTGTATTTATTTGTTCAAAACAGCTGCATTTATTACATCACATCGAAGTTAATTGGTGTCATGGCTCTAAGCAAATACTACGGAAAATTATTTATCAAATACTGTATTCTAAAAAATAAATTAAATAAAAATGATTATTATCAAACTTTTTCTTTATCTAAGCTTGTTAATCAACATTTTGAGAATATTAATTAAAAAAATTTAAAAGTATGGTAACATTTTTATAATATTTGTCATAATTTGAAATTATCTCATGACAATTTTAATTACTAAATAAAAATGAATTAACGTATTATTTAGAAAAAGACAAACAGTAGTGGCGACATTGAGGCTTAAAAAAAT